AATCCTAGCACTTCACCGTCCTGCTCAGAAAGCTCAGCTCCCTGTGTCACAGTCAAACTTCAGAGTTTGGCAGGGATTTCTAACCAGGCCCAAGTTCACGTTGCTGGTCTCATCTCCGGGCTGCTCCCACGTCACTCCTTTGAATTCTTACACCGTGGATGCTCACTTTCTCAGAACGCGTACTCTTGCCTGTCTTCCATCTACTATTAAACTGTTTTGTCTGCCATGAATAGTTTTTCCCATCTTGTCCACCTAAAGAAATGTCACTTTCTATTTGTAATTTAAATCAGATGTCACCTGTTCTCTGTGTTGTATTCTTTGAGCCTCCCTTATGAAGTTTCCTAATCTCAGCCTCATGTTGGGTTTGTACATGCCATGCCCATGCCTCTATCATATCACTTATCAAATTGAATTATTGTTGGTAACATGTTTGTGTCTCTCCTCTGTTAAGCTATGACATCTGAAAACTCACAGAACCACATTTTATTAATCTTTGTATTTTTGATGCCTAGCAAAGAGCCCTTTTATTACTTTGTAAGATTCTCAATAAAATGTATGTGGGCTAAAGGAATGATTCATAAAAAATAAAAATAAACAACTAAAAAAACAACAACAGTAAGAACACTGATAGGCATCTATGTTTTAAAAATATACCTTTATCTTTAAAATAATCTGCAGTGAATATAGAGCTGGAAGAGACCTCAGTGTTTAGAATATTTTAGTATAATCCTTCCATCTAAAAGATGAACCATCTTCTATCTTCTATATTTTCTTTTTTTTTTTTTTGCTTCTCCTTTTCACCTAACTCTAAAATAAATTCCAAATGGATTATACTCTCTTATAGGGAGAAATCATGATCACTTGATTTTACTGTAAATTGATAATCAATGAATAAAATTCCTTTCCCACTGAGTTCTAACTCATCTTTAATTACATCGTAAGTTCATATGTGTGTATATACAAATACATGTACAAACTGATTTATTTATTATTAGATATTGATATTTCTGGCTATTTCTATCTGGTTCTATTTACCATATGTCTGTTCTGGTAATAGTTCCATGCTGGATTGATTATTATAGATTAACGTTATGCTTAAATGTTAACTGTTTGGTAGGAATATTTTTTCTTCAAAATCATTTTAGTTATTTTTACTCATTTATTCTCACAATTAAAATTGTAAATATTATTTCAAATTCCAGAAAATACTCCTTTGTCATTTTGGTTGGAACTATACTAAGCCTGAATACAGATTAATTCAGAAAAGATTAACATGTTTCCTCTAATTAGTTTTTCTGTCTACAAACAAGGGATGTCTCTCAATAAAGTTGTCTTCATATGTCTTTAATATTTTTTGGCTCAATTTATTCAAAGATATTTTCTATATATTTTTGCAAAGAAAAGAGTCTCATTTCCCATAATTGTCAATGATTTCTAACATTGTATGTAGGAAAGCTCTTAATGTTTTAATATTAATTTTATATTTGATCATCTTAAAGTAAGTACTCCTAGTTTTCAATTTATTGTCTTGAGATCAAATCATTTGAAAATAATCATAATACTTTTTCCTTTTTAGTAGTAATCTCTTATTTTTGTTTGTTGTTTTATCACATTGGTTAAAATTTACAGAATATTAATAATAGTGCTAATAGGACTAATCCATCTCTGTAATAGGAATAACTATAAATATATAACCAGTCATAGGCTGAGAGAGATGTGCTTATCACGTTAAACATTTATTCCATTTCTAGTTTGTTTTTGTACTTGTAGCAGAAATGAGGGTTATATTTTAATCAAATGCTTTTACAGAATCTTATATTTTTCATTGTCTTATTTGACTTCTTAGTGAATTTGTAATGCATTTCCTCATATTAAGCAGTATTTATTTCTTTTAGATAGTTTAAAGGTACTTTACGTGAAGAAATTTGCTTTAAAACCGTCTGCAGTGTTCAGAGACTCTCAAAATCGGATATTTGGAAAATTTGCAGTAAGTCCCTAAAATCAATAAGGTTTCTAAAGAAAAGGAAGTGCTGCTAAATTCCATCTCTATACCAGTCTCTGTAATCAGGCATGTGTTTAGGTATGCTTCTTAGAATACTGAGCATTGAAATGGTTAGGCCACTACCTCACTGTGAGTTTCGGGAAGCTGCTTCATTCAGGGAATTCAATCACAGCATGAAGGTTTGTTTGCATTAAATAATTCCAAAACTGATTCCTCTCTCAGATTCCCACAAATTCTATATGATTTTAATTGTGTCCTCTAGCCTTACAAAAATTCACCCACCGAGAGAAGCAAAGAGATTCAGAGACCACAGCATCACCCCTTTTCTCAGGTTTTCACCTCTCTGCTCACTTTGTTTAAACTTTCCCCCTAAGTCAATGATAGAAGCTTCCTAAATGTCCCTTTCACCCATGTCGCTTTCACCCACTGGGAGTGCCTCATGACAACTAAGTTTGTACTTAGTTGATCCTTGCCACTGATAATTTGGAACAGGTCTGACATCCAACCTAAGTTTAGCTAATGAGATTCAAGTTTCCAAGAAGTTAGAACTGGGACCTAAAATACATATATGTTAATCTTAGCACATGTCCTGAACAAACAGCAACTAAATTCTAGAAATGTAGATGGCCTCCTGCTACCTACCCTGTGGACCTAGACGTAGAGAAAACCAATATAAAGAGAACCAAACAAAGCAGACAGAGGCATATTTGGATTTCTGAGAGGTTTTAGTACTTATAACCACTTCTTTTCTTAGACCTTTCTATAGTCTGCCATGGGGTTTCTTGACACACCCTCATAAATCGTTCCTTTTAGCTTAAAGCAAGCTTAAGTTGGTTTCTGTTACCTACAGTCAAACAACCCTGACTAGTATGCCGCTGTGCCTACACTGCCCTGCTCAACTATAGAGAAAGTAAGGAGACATCTCTGGAATTCTGTCCAACACTTTTTCTTTATGGTGCATAAGGTTCTCATGGCAACAGAAAAATCTTTGATTCTATACAAGATGTACAGTATTAATATTTGATTGTCTATAGAACACACCAGAGTAAGGAATTGACATTGTTACTTAAGTACCTGAAAAATCTGAACTCTTCTTCATTTTATGTTTTTCTTTTGATAAATCTTTGCATTTAAAACATTTATAGAAATAGCATTTTGTTCAAATGGTAGCAATAAAAATAATCCTAAAAGGCAGGCCTTTGTTTCCCTCCAGCTTCCCAAGTAAAATTTTGTTAAATAACATTGCTTATTAGGCTGTAAGAAAATTCATTCTCTCCTTAGAAATAGGTAAGTTTGCTTCTCTCATGTAATGAAACATATATTCCATTGAATGTCCCCTTATATTTTAGCAGCTTAGGAAGCTCAGAACTTAACGTAGTCCTTCATTCTGGTTACTAAATTTGTTTCTTCCCCCTTCAACGGTTTTGATGGTGTACTTCTACTTGAATAGCCCTATGTGCCTTTTTTTATCAGAAGCAGGCAAGGTATTAATAATAAATGAATACTAACAGTAAGCCAATAATGAAATCAAAAAATTGATAAACATCCTGAAAATTACTGAAAATCAAATTATATATCCCATGATAATCTGCCTATGCTCAGGTCCCTTACCCTATTATTATAACCGTACTATTATTACCAGCTATTGGGAACACAGAAAAATTTCAAGCTATTTGCAAAATAAATCTCCAAGGAGTTCAGAGAGATTCTCTTTTAAGTTCACACACTAAAATTCATGTATTTTCCATGATCCTCATCCAGAGTACACTTACTCTTGTATCAGACACAGTTCTATTATGCTTCAGTGGGTTCCTACTGCTTTCAAGATGAAGAACAAATCTTAAGAATGACCTGTAAGACATCTCATGATCTATCTGGTCCTGTCTAGTGCTTTACCCTTGGTCTCTGACCCTCATCTCCAGATTCCAGCTGTCTCTAACTCCCTAGAATAGGGACATATTTCCCTATTATAAACTTTTAGTCCAACACACCTCTTCTTTCAATACTCATTGCAGATTATATAATTACACCTTTGTGTGCTTATTTGATTGATATCTAAGTTCCCCAAGAAACATGTCTGTTTTGACTCTTTTTAGCAGTAATATATCTTTAGTACCTATCATAATGCTTACCACATTCTATGTGCTCAATAAATATCTCTTGACTAAGTTAATGAAATTTTATGTGTGTTTCTGTGTCCGTGGTAGATTGAAAGAAGCAAATTATGGAAGGGAGCAGTCCAAAAAACAATCACAGCAACAGTAGTCTGATAATGTAGAAGGGGAATATAACTATAAAAAGTGGACAGAAGAACTCAAAAATCATTGGACTCTAGAGGCAAATTGTCTTAATAATCGTGAGACATTATGACTTTTTCAGTAGTCTTTAACAGCATCATTATATTACAGATTAAAGTCATCAACGAAGGGTTAGGTCTATGGTTAAGAGAGAAATTGATAATTCAACTTTAGAATACTTTAATCCAGTGTTTCTTTAAAAGACTTCCCTGTCTTCTGGAGATGAGCTTCAGTTAATGAAAAAATATATTCATTTGCATTCTTCTTCCCACTTCTTAGCAATTTAGATAAATAAAGTGCGCCCCAACGTCATGTTAGGGTAAATAACGTATTGTAACACTTGTATTGTAACACTCCTCTTTAGCTCCATTTAATAATTGTAAGAAAATTATTTTCAAATTCCCCTATTTATATTCTTAACAAAAGGAACTATGTTATGTAATGTTTCACCAAAATTCTGGTGAAATTCAAGAGGATGCGAATGTAAACCAAATTGTGTCTCATGTTGCCTGAACAAAGCAAAAGAAGTTTCCACTTGAATTCTAAATTGAAGATGACCTTGTGTTTTGAGAAAGGCTGGCAGCTGAGGTCACTGGAGTGTATTATGATGGACAGTGCAGCGCTGTGCGTCCTGCTTGGAGGCATGTCCATTGTGTGGATTACAGCCAAACAGAAAGAATTAGACAGCTCAGAGCATTCTATCATTTCATTTGAAAATAATGGTCAAAGTCATGGGCGGCAACCATTACAACTTTCATGAAAGAACAGCAGAATTCAATAGTTCCATCACTTGAGACAGGCAATTTGGCTATTCTCAGCCGAACACTATGAATCCAGCGTATTCTGTACCAATTTCTTGTGACGCTCACAGAAGCAGCATTTCTGCTTCTGCAGTAGGCAAATCTCATCTACACTTGATTGTATGTAGTTCTACCTTACACGATGCAGCTCACTGCTTCAAATTGACCCAATCATTGAAAGAAATACAATGAAAAAGAAGATGCAGAAACTTAACATGGCACTCTTAGAATGTAAAAATATACAGCAACTCCAAATCATCCACTCTCGTCAAGTCATCTTACTGTTTAAAATGCTTAAAATAGGTTTCAAAACAAAATGTCTACAATTCCTTCTTTAATAACGGCATTAACAAAACACTTTCAAAGAAATCTAATCTGTTGTCAGTGGTTCCAAATGAGTCTCCTAAGTTACTTCTGAAATAGTGATATTTTGATTGATAGAGGCTTATTTTTAACTTCTGCTTCCTTCAGCAGCAGATTAATGGTAGCACCAAAAAAAATATGGTTGAGATTTAAAAGCAGGTGGAAAAACTCACACTCTGATTAAAAGAGGAACTGCTTCTAATCCTGTACTTTCCACTCTGCTTGAGTATACGCTATATATAGGGGAAAAAAAACACACCCTGTCCCTTCTAAAGTATTTAGATTAAAAAAAAAAAGTTGTGACTTACCATTAAAATTTACAGCCCGAATATAACCGAGTAGTTCTTTCCCATCAATGGTACTCATTCGTGGGCAAAGGCCAACGTATCCAGGGCAGAGATCTTTGTGCATATTGTGCAGGGCATAAGCCATGGAATACACAGCATCAATTACAAATTGGACCTTTCCTTCCTGTTCGTAAGATGAATCCCGAGCAATTCGCTCTAGGCCTGTAAAAGAAAAGGGAAACCATCAACTGGGGTTAGATTCCACTAAAAATTTGGCATGAGGGCTAAGATTTTCATCATTTGAGGCACACAGAAATGAGACAAAACTATTTGATTTTACTCCTGATTATTTTAGTCCTATACTAACTGAGTCAGGTTTTTAAACTGGGTATTGAATTTTTTATTGTGAAAGAACAGAAAGTATTTTATTAGCAACAAAATGATATAAAGTAAATAGAAGACATATAGTTTCATTATCTTCATTTCTACCTTATGAGCTCTATTATACTGTACATGCTGGTAATTACCTAGCATTTTGGTAGTGATCTGATCTTTTAAGTAAAATGTGTACACTGTTGTTCTTCTCATCCACCTTAGCTCCAACAGCATCACTTAATAAGTGGCCCAAAGTAAGATCTCCCCCTCCATCCCACGTCTGTCCTTGTTTAGAGTGTGCTCTGTTTGGGAGCTCTTTTTGTAAATATTAAATGACAGTATTTCCTTAAATAAACTGCTTATCTTTAGAAGAATCATTCAATTTATTTTCTTCTTGAACTCAACTTTTTATTTGTTTCTATTGTTTAATTTTTTCCAGCTTATTGATATATAATTGACATATAACACTGTGTAAGTTTAATAAATACAACACGATGATTTAATACACATATATATTGTGAAATGATTACCGCCATAAGGTTAGTTAACATATCCACCACCTCACATAGTTGCCTTTTTTATTCCTTGTGGTGAGAACTTTTAAGATCCAATTGCTTAGAAACTTTCAAGTATACAACACTGTGTTGTTACCTATAGTCATCTTGCTGTACATTAGATAAAAGATGTAAAGCTCTCAAAATGAATGTCATTCAGAATAATTGTACCTGTTTTTAGGTATACTTAGGGCTGAGAACTGGCATTGGAGATTACCTTTAGCTTGGCCTTTATCATTTAACATGTAATAGAAACATAGAATTAAAAATGGAAGATAAAATTGATGTTAAAAGTTAGAGGGTGTATAATTAGTTATAATCCAACATTCTCATTTTGAGGATAAGGAAACTCAGTTTGTGGAGGTGAAATTCACTTAGGACACACAAACAGACACAGGAACCACTGCCAGGTCTCAGATATTGAAATCCAATATTCTCTCAATCTCCAGGAAAATGGGGTAGATGGCAAGAATGTTGGACACGCAAGAAAAAAAAACGACAGATAGGACACTGAGGACTTATTGAGGAGATCGAAAAGGATCTATCATTTCCACATTCCCACAAACCTTATACATCTGGTACCACTGGGAGAGACCAAAAGCAAGCACTTTAAATCTTCCCATAAATGTCAGTTAGTAAGCTTTAATAAAAGTCTTTAAGTTCAACAAATATTTCCTTTCTTCACAAAAATGCATATTTCCTCTAAATTTAGAGATGTGAATTAAGATGGTTGTCTTATATTTGGGTTTTTACACTCTGACAAAACCAGTGACTTTCTTCTAGACAAATGTAGTGGTCAATTCATTCATTTTCATTAATCAGATCATTGAAACATTTTTCCTTTGGTCTCAATCACTTGTTCCACTCAGACCCTTTAAATGCTCTTTGTTGGTGCTCTACTCCCTGCAGTCTTTTGTGCTGCTAAATTCTGCTCCACCCTTTCAACACACCTTTTCAGACTTTTTTGATGACTCAACATTCCATTCCCCAAGACTGAGTCCTCTTTTATTTTTCCCAACCTCAGAATCCATTCATTCTCAACTATTACTATTGGTAGGGTCTAGAAATAGAAACTGGAATCCAAAATTTTAGTGATAGAGTCCAAAACATAAGACATCTAGCTTTCTGGACTTTACTGTCACCTAACTTCCAACCCACATTTCCAATTGCATGCCATATTTCTATTTAGTCTGCTTCCATATCAAACTCACAAGATCCAAAACCAGGCTAGCACTGTAGGGAATTACACTATTATTTTCTTAAAACCTCCTATTGAGGATTTGGCAGGCTTAGGAACACAAAGAGAGAAGGCAGATCTAACAAAGAACCTCTTTGAGGTGCCAAAAGGTATACTGTCTCTTTCAACCTGTCTTAGTTGAGTGATCTAAGCTAAGATCCATGCAGATATGGGGATCCTAGGACAGTGTTGTGTATGTGCAGAACACCACCAAGTAACCTATGAAAGCAGCACTTTCAGCTTTCCATAGTTTTAACCACAAAATAGACAATTCATAAATAAATACTGATGAACGGTCACAGAAACCAACAACATTCAGTTATATCTTTAAAGACCTTATCTGGTGACAAATGGCTCTGGTTAGTCCAGGACTGAGGAGTTTTTCAGGATGTGGGATCACAACCTGGACAGTCCTGGGCAGACCAGCATGGTTTCTTATGAACAAGGAGGCAAATGGTCAGGGAAACTTAATGATAAAAGACTGAAATAACTACACTGAGGGTAGGTCCCTAGGTCTATATGGAGAAATCCTTGTGTTTCATTTATTTTGCATCACTAAACTTGGTAACTGAAAAGGAAGACTAGGCATCCCAGAGCAGTTGTTCCCATCTTAGTTATCTTCTTAAGTACAGATTCTGCAGTGCCATCCAGACTTAATGAATCAGAATCTCCCAACTTGAGGACATGAATACTCTGTAATTTCAAAACATAGATATCTGTCTTAGTCAGTTTGGGCCGCTATAACAAAGTGCCACAGACTGGGTGGCTTGTAAACAACAGGAATTTATTTCTCAGAGCTCTGAGTCTGGACTTCCAGGCTCAGGATGCCAGCATGGACAGGTTCTGGTGAAGGCTCTCTTCTGGGTTGCAGGTGGCTGTTTTCTTACATCCTCAATATGGCAGAACGCAGAGAGGAAGCAAGCTCTCTTATGCCTCTTAGAAGGGCACTAATCTCATTCATGAGGGCTCTACCCTCAAGACAGTATCTGATCCTAATTACCTCCCAAAGGCCTACCTCTAATACCATCATATTAGGGAGTAGGGTTTCAACATAGGAATATGGTTGGGGGCGGGGAACACAAGCATTCAATCTATAGCACTCATATTCCAGGTTATGTTGATTGTATTGCTGCTCTGTAAACTCTTCTGCTGCATGCTCACATGCAAACACACACACACACACACACACACACACACACTTTAAAGAAAAAAGAGGAATTCCATGTCTCCATTACTAAAGGAGTATGGTCAGCAGTCATAGGATTGGCAGAAAATGCCAAAGCCAAATTGATTCAAAGAAAGTAATGACCATGAGAACTTAAGGCATTTGGAAATTTTCCACAATCCATGGGATATATGGACAAGCTAGGTGTGTATGAATATTTTATATTTTTAAATTTACTCTATCCCCAAATGTTCTGAATTTGACATACTAGGATTTTATTTTAATGCTACTGCAACCTCCTAGAAGTCTGTAAGATATTTCTGACCATTCAATAACTGAGATAAAGTTATATACAACAATTTCCTGATATACTTTTAATATAGATACCCCAACTTAATAGACATACTCTTCCTTGGATTCCTCCCCAATATTTTTCCACCTTCATGTATAATGGATTTATATTAATTCTGAAACACCACACCATCTTATTAAAGGAAAATATGTAAATTTTCACTAGTCAAACTATTTATTTCCTTGCTAGTTATAAACTACAATTAGTTTGAGTAAAGATTAAATATATACAACTTTGCTTTCTTTTAAAGTTCATAAGGCTCTCTAGTAACTATTGCCACACAAGTCAATGGACACTATAAGACATTTTTCATAAATCAATGTATGTACGTGGTGACAAACTAAAAGACTGATCACTATTACCATTTCTAAATTTAAAAGGAAATTATCTGATTTCTTTTCAGGCTGTTTAGACAAGGTATTTTTCTATTCCCTAAAACTTCAAACTCATAATGACACTTAAGATTTTACAGAATCTAGAGTTTGCCCCTCACTTCCTATATCTGCTTCCCTTGATCATCTAAGAGAATAATTTAGGAAGCTGACAGTGAATCATCAACTTAATTGCCTGTAAAATTTCATTATGCTATCGTTTCTAAAGTTAGCCTTACTGTATTGCTACAAAGTGCTAAACATTGTTAAAGGCTGTATGTCAGCCATCCATTTAAAACACTGATTGTAAAGCTGTGATGTGTTTTAGTGCATAGCTTAAAATTAACAACATATAGCTAAGAGTTTGTGTGGTAGGAGACGAAGTCAGCCTCATAAATCTTATAGCAAGATTGTTTTATGTTTTCATTAATGAAATCTAAAACCCTGACAGTATCTCTGTCCCTGGAACACACAGTAAATTCTTATTGGTCCGAGCAATACCACATGGACCTCAGTTAAGGTCTTCTGCACATCAGAGTGTATCTTTTTTGGTTTTGTTCCTTCTTAGCGAAAAGCAAATCTACTCAAGTTTGCAAAGTGCTGTATATTTTATAATGTGAGTTCCTAAGATGAACCTGACATGAATTTTAAATTCTTTGACTGACACATAGTTTTTGAGCTTTGCTTTCTAAGAATTTCTCATTTCTCAGAAGATAGCTTAGTTTTGTAAACTGAGATACTAGGGGCTATTTTCCTTTTCCTGAAATGATTATAAAACTCATAATGTTACTGCAGTGATGATCTAATAAACAGTGGTCAATTCAGTGGGAAAAAAATGTAAGTCAAATTAGTCCTTTTATTCCCAGGAAAGCAAACATCCAATTGGTTCGAGTTTTTACTACAGTCTTACGAGGTAGTAGAAATAATCCCACACTCTAAATTTGTAGGTTAAAAATGATTTCTTTATTTAGCTCCTCCCTGACTTTTTCTTAAGTATGCAGCAAGTATTTTAAATAATTCAATCATTTTCTTGCAGTTGCTGTAAGGAGGATGGTAAGAGGGAAGAAGAGAATTTGTCAGCTGCTATGAATAAACACATTTACGCATACAGGACCAAATTGAAAAGTCATTCTGAATTCCACAAAAACTCCATTTGCCTTACTCCCTG